GGAAATACAGAGAATATTCAAGTCATACTTTGAAAAACTGTACTTCACAAAATTTGAAAATTTAAATCAAATGGACAATTTAGTGGATAGATATCACTTACCAAAAATAAATCAAGAATATGCAATTTACTTAGACCTATAACCCCTAATGATAGAGAAGTAGTTATCAAAAGTGTCACACACCACAAAAAGTCCAGTGCCAGATGGATTCAGTGCAGAATTCTACCAAAAATTCAAAGAACAAACAGCTAAGACCATTTCTCCTCAAAGTATTCCACACAATAGAAACAGAAGGGTCATTGCCAAACACTTTTTACAAGGTTACAATTACTTTGGTACCCATGCCACACAAAGACACAACTAAGAAAGAGAAATACATACCAATATCCCTCATAAACAATGATGAAAACATACTCAATAAAATACTGGCAAATCAAATCCAAGAACACATCAGAAAAATTATCCACCATGATCTGGGAGGCCTCATCCCAGGGATGCAGGTTTGGTTCAAATTATGAAAATCCATCAACGTAATCCACCATATAAACCAACTGAAGAAGAAAAACCACATGATCATTTCACTAGATGCTGAAAAAGCTTCTGACAAAATCCAAGACCCCTTCATGATAAAGGTCTTGGAGAGATCAGGGATAACAGGAACAAACTTAAAAATAATAAAAGCAATATAGAGTAAACCAAAAGCCAGCATCAAACTAATTGAAGAGAAACTCAAGGTGATTCCTCTAAAATCAGGAACAATACAAGGCTGTCCCCTCTCTCCATGTCTCTTCAATATTGTCTTTGAAGTTCTAGCTAGAGCAATAAGACAGCAAAAGGAGATCTAGGGGGTTCAAATTGGAAAAAGAAGTCAAACTTTCACTATTTGCAGATGATAGGATAGTTTACATAAGTGACCCAAAAAACTCTACCAGAGAACTCCTACAGCTGATAAACACCTTCAGCAAAGTGGCAGGATACAAGATTAACTCAAAAAAAAGTCAGTAGCCCTTCTATATACAGATGATAAATGAGCAGAGAAAGAAATAAGAGAAACATCACCCTTTACAATAGCCAAAAAACAACATAAATACTTTGGGGTAATCAAAACAAAAGAAGTGAAGACCTATATAACAAGAACTTTGAGTCTTCAAAGAAAGAAATTAACTAAGATAGCAGAAAATAGAAAATTCTCCCATGCTCTTGGATAGATAGGGTCAACATAGTAAAAATGGCAATTGTGTCAAAAGCAATCTACAGGTTCAGAGCAATCCCCATTCAATACCAGCAAAATTCTTCACTGACCTTGAAAGAACAATTCTCAACTTTATATGAAAAAACAAAAGATCCAGGATAACAAAATCAACCCTGTACAATAAAGGAACTTCCAGAGGCATCACCATCCCAGACTTCAAACTCTATTATAGAGCCACAGTCCTGAAAACAGCTTGGTATTGGCACAAAAATAGACAGGAGGACCAAAGGAATTGAATTGAAAACCCTAAGATGGAACAGCACACCGAGGAACAACTGATTTTTGACAAAGAAGCCAAAAATCATACAATAGAAAAAGAAAGCACCTTCAACAAATAGGGTTGGCAAAACTGCATGTAGAAGACTGCAGATACATCCATACCTATTGCCATGCACAAAACTGAAGCTCGAAGGATTCAAAGACTTCAACCTAAACCCAGCCACACTGTACCCCTTAGAAGAGAAAGTGGGATGTATCTTCCAACAAATTGGTACAGGAAACCACTTCCTGAATGTAATACCAGTAGCACAGACACTGAGATTGACAATTAATAAATGGGGCATCCTGTAACTGAGAGGCTTCTGTGAGGCAAAGGACACAATCAACAAGACAAACCAGAAGCATGCAGAATGTGAAAAGATAGTCACAAACCCCACATCTGACAGAGGGCTGATCTCCAAAATATACAAAGAACTCAAGAAGCTAGTCTCCAAAACACCAAATAATCCAATTAAAAAGTGAGGTATAGAACTAAATAGAGAATTTTCAATAGAGGAATCTAAAATGACTGAAAGACATATAAGAAAGTCTTCAACATCCTTAGGCATCAGGGAAGTGCAAATCAAAACAACTCTGAGATACCATCTTGCTCCTGACAGAATGGCGAGAAGCAAAACCCATCAATGACAGTTTAAGCTGGAGAGGTTGTGGAGAAAGAGGAACAGTCTGCCACTGCTGGATGGAGTAAAAACTCATACAGCCACTTTGGAAATCAATATGGTGGTTCCTATGGAAAATGGGAATCAGTCTACCATAAGATCCAACAATTCCACTCTTAGGCATATACCCAAAAGAAGGACATTTATACAACGACATCAGTTCAACTATGTTTGTAGCAGCATTATTTGTTTTGTTTTGTTTTATTTATTTTTAAGTTTAAAACAAGCTTCTTTTATATGTCAATACCAGTTACCTCTCCCTCCTCTGCCCCCCACTGACAGCCTATGCCATCCCTTTTCTGCTCTCCAGGGAGGGTGGACCTTCAATGGGGGATCATCAAAGTCTGTCCTATCATTTGGAGCAGGGCATAGACCCTCCCCTCCCCCATGCAGCAGCATTATTTGTAATAGCCAGAACCTGGACACAACCTTGATGCCCCTCAACTGAAGAATGGATGAAGAAAATGTGGTACATTGACACAATGGAGTACTAGTCAGCAGATAAAAAAACAGTGGAATACTGAAACTCACAGGCAAATGGATGAAACTAGAAGAAACCATCCTGAATGAAGTAACCCAGTCACAAAAAGACAAATATGGTATGTACTCACTCATATATGGATTTTGGACCTAGAGCAAAGGAATACCAGCCTACAGTTCACACTGCCAGAGAAGCTAGGATACAAGGAGGACCCTAAGAGAGACATACATGGTCCCTAGGGGAAGGGGAAAGAGACAAGATCTCCTGAGCTAACTGGGAGCATAGGGAAGGGGAGAGGGAGTTAGGAGATAGAGAATGGGAGAAGAGGAGGTGAGAGGAAGACACGAGGGATCAGGAAGATTGAGTTGGGGAAGAATAGAGGAGCAAGAAAAGAGATGTCATAATAGAGGGAGTGATTATGGGTTTAAAGAGAAATCCAGTACTAGGGAAATGTCCAGAGATCTACAAGGATGACCCAACCTGACAATCTAAGCAATAGTGAGGAGGCTACCTTAAATGCCCTTCTCTGATAATGAGATTGATGACTACCTTATATGCCATCCTAGAGCCTTCTTGCTGTAGGTGATAGAAGTGGAAGCAGACACCCACAGCTGAACACTGAGCTGAACTCCTGGAATCCAGTTGTAGAGAGGGAACAGTGATGAGCAAAGGGGAATAGACCATCATGGAGAAACCCACAGAAACAGCTGACCTGAACAAGGAACAGCTCATAGACCCCAGACTCATATCTGGGAAATCAGCATAGTACTGATCCAGACTCCCTGAATGTGGGCATCAGTTAGAATGCCTGGGCAGTCTATGGGCCCTGTGGTAGTAGATCAGTATTTATCCCCACTGTACGAATGGACTTGGGAGCCCATTCTACATAGAGAGATACTCTCTCAGCCTGGGGAGAGCCTAGGATCTGCTCCAAATAATATGAAAGACTTTGAAGACTCCCCATAAAAGGCCTCATCACACCTGGGGAAAAGAAATGGGATGGGCTAGTAGGTGGGTGGGAGGCAGGAGAGGCAGGGAGTGAGAGGGAACTGGGATTGACACGAAAAACAAGCTTGCTTCTAATTTATATTTAAGAAATTCAGCTATACCACTATTGGGCATATACTCAAAAGACACTTCATCCTACAATGGAGACATTTGTGTATTCATAATATCCAGAAATTGGAAACAACCAGATTTCCAGTAAACAGGAGAATACATTAAGAAAATGTGGCACATTAACACAATAGACATTACAATTACTCAGACATTAAAAGCAATGAATTCTGCAGACAAAGGGAGGAAATTAGTAAAAGTCATTATGAGTGATGTAACAGAGACCCAGAAAGACAAACATGGTAAATGTTTGCTTATATTTGGATTTTAGGTATTAAGTCATTAATAAGCAAGACATTACAACCACAGAGGTTAGATATAGATGAAGGGAGTAGAGGTCAGGATCTCACTAGGAAGGGAAAAAAGAATAGATAGTTATGGATGGATTCCAGCGTCTAAACAGGGGGATCCTGGCCTCCATGTGCCTGTGCACACATATTTTTCTTCTGTGCACACACACATGCATTCACACATTTCCAAAACCACATCATACCTCATGTGTGTATATAAACAATTTTAGCTACTGATAATATTTCAATAGGTGTAGGTGAAATAAAGTACAAATACACAGGAAATGAAATTTTCATATACGTCTAATTAAGGAGCTGTAGTTAAAATAGAATATCCAAACACGTTATTTTTATTTTCAGAGAAACTACACTTAGGAAAGAGAATTAAATTAAAATAGGGTATTTAAACTATTCTTGATGTCAAAGAACACATTAAAATCCCTTCCAAATAGAAGCTTAGAAATTTACTACAAATATTGAGATTCCTTTGAGTAACCTAAGCATCAAAGGAACATTAATGATATCAAATAAAAAGGAGAGAGTAAGAGAATTCCTGTGGAAATATAAATTTATGGTTTACAATGAACTTAAAGGACTCTATGGTAGTTGGCAGCAGAAATTTCACAACAATGTACATGTGTAATATCACAAATTTTATTTAAAGAAGAATCTTGATTCTCTACTTGAACTATTAAATATCTTAAGAAGACTCTGAAAAATAATAAGTTTGGTAAAAACAATAATTGCAGCTGTACCAAAATGACTCCTTAAAAATTTCTGTAATTACAGTTACATGGGAGGAGGACTAATCACTTCTGATCTTGTTGGGCACCAGGAATTCGCATATACATATATGCTGACATGATACTCACAAATATAAATAAAAAGAGTAAATACTTTTATAAAAATGAGAAAAGTCACCATTATTTAAAAATCTGGTGACACGTTGACTGCAAGGTTGTCAGCATATTGATTATTCTGTAATCAGAACTGATTTGTACCAAAGGTGCAATTGTGGGATAGGCATTCATCACAAACTTCTGAACACTCAGGATGACTGGGTGGTACATCCATGACAGGAATGCGGTGGATGAGATGATGACGTCTTCCCAGTACATGACCACAAAGACAACCACCAGAAGCAAGATGGTCAGTGTGGCCTTTTTCTCTGGGGACGCTCTCAGGTGACTGAGGCTATGAAGATGCTTGCATTGCCTCTGATGTCTGAACAAGATAATCACCATGTATGCACTTGAGGTCATCATAACTCCTACAAGAAATACGTCTCTGATGATTGTCTCTGTTAAAATCAGTGCCTTGATGATGTAGTCCATGGGGAAGAGTGAGCAATATTTGGTGGACTTCATCTGGTTGGTCTCACTCACATTGGTAAAAGCACCAACGTAGAAGACAATGATGCTACTGAATGACAAATTGAGAGCCCAAATAAATAAGAAAGAATAGACCATGTATTTTTTTAGTTTATGTTTAAATTTTGCCAGTGAAGAGGTACTGGGACTGATAGTGACAGCCTGGAACACACTCAGGAGGCAGGTGATGCAGATGGAGAGGCCTCTCATCACTCTGTGTATGTAAAAAGTTGCCTTACATTTGAAGTCATTCTCACTGTTCAGTGACTCAAATATATCTGTAAGCCCGATTTCCCCCCCAACGAGGAGCAGCACTATGTGGACAAAGGTCAGTTGACAGGAGGTCAGGTCTATGAGCTTAGATTTATGCACTAGGATTATGAAAGTGTAGAAAAAAAGAAGAAACGTATTGGCGAGGAGTCCAAGAACAGCTTGGAAATAAAGGACATTCCTTAATGGGGACATATGTGGAAACTCTATTCATCTTAACATCATAGTGGAATCATATTTCATGTATCTGAAAAAACAATAGATTATACATCAGACTTGTGACTCAATGGTCACTATGTCTTTATCATCATTCTGTTATAACTACTTATTCTTGATTAATGTATGTCTTTCAATTATGAGGTTCCACATTTATATGGCCTATATTTCTATTTCTATATACCCACCATATATTTCCTGAGTATACATAGTATATTGTGCATAATAAATGCATTCTCAGCCATATTCAATGTAGAATGCACACTTTATGTGCCTGTATTACACCTAGGTGTCATTCCTTAGAAATACCATCATATTGATTTACATTGCCTCATTTAATAATTAACACCTAAAACAATAGTGACAAACACAGAATATTAATCACATTTTTACACCCAAATAAAACTTATGTTGACCTGGAAACTATTCAAAAAAGAAACAAAAAATAGTGAGGTGAGTCAGTCTCTGGTTGCACAATCTTAACATGCTCTATTTTGCAACTGTTTTCACTCATAATTCTAATGGAATCACAATAATAATCCCACTATTTTAATCAGCAAAATGTCTATCATAGTTCATACTTTCCTTTTTATGTCCCTTTTTCTATGAAGTCTTACATTCTCAGGATCCAGAATTAAAGACACACATACAGTTGGAGGCCACTTTCCGCACCCTGTTAATTGTATAGACATTGACTATGGGTCTCAATGTTCCTAGATGTCTCCCTATGTAGATCACATTCCATCATGAGTTGGAACACTCCACTTCAGGATTAAACAACTAACTCCCATTTATCAAGACAAACACTTTTTTCTTTTCTATTTTGGGGTGCAATTCATTAATAGTATGATCCCTTACGATTTTTTTTCTTTTTGTCTCATGACTTTTTCAGCAATCCATGTTGATATTGTATCTACCTACCCCTTCTTTTGCATTTATCTTCCTGCACCTAACATAAGAACCCTCCTTATCCCATTTTCCCTATCACATCAATTGTATTCTGCTAAACCGTACATCTTTCTCCCACCTTCTTCTGTCGTCCCCCTTCCTAAGGAACTCTCCTTTCCAATTTCCCTGATGAGATCACTTGAACCCTGCTATTCTCCTCTCCATCACTATGCACACCACTCCATCCAGGCTATGGTCCCGAATTGTTCTGGTATCTGTTGTCACTACACACATTTTATATTTACCTTACATTTGCTTTAAAGAAAATCTTCATCTAGTATAGGTACAGATTCATCTCAATTGCCAGGGCCAAACATCTAATTCTCCCATCAACATACATTTACAATAGTTCCACCGTGGTGTTTTTTTTTACCTCCAATATACAAGCTGGAATGATGGCTCAGTTGTTCAGAGAATGATTTACTCTTGCAAAAGACCTGGGGTAGATTCCCAGCAATAACGTAGTGGCTCAGAACCATCTGTAACTCTAGTTCTGGTGGATCCCTTGCCTTTTCAGACCCAGGCATGCAGGTGTCACACAGACATATCTGCAGACAAAACACTCATGTATGTAAAATAAAATAAATAAATCTTTCAACACAAATATATGTAAAATAATTTCCAATAATTATAAATTTACAATATGTCAATATTCACATGTTTTATAGGTAATATAAAAGGATGATATTATGTGGTAAAAGGTCATAGTCTAAAATGATTTTTTCCTTAGACCAAAGAAATGTTCTACAATATTTACAAATCATATGCATTGATTTGTAAATATTGATGACTAACAGAAAATGATGCATCTCCTAATTCATCAAGTGGCATGTTTCTCTGGAAACTCCCAGCTGAGACTGAACCAGAATAGACTTGACACAAACTGAGTTGCTAACATGTGCATGCACTGAGAACAGCTATTTGTTTTATTTGAAAAAAATAAATTGCAGTGCTTATGGCTTTCACATTAAAGTTTTAAATATTTACTTGTAAGTACTAGAACCTAAAGTGTACCCATAAACTTTCATAATATGGAGAAGCCATCACTATTAAATTGACCCAGACCTAAAGACCAAGTAGTCTGCAGGCAGCTGTCTGAAGAGATGGACAACAATAGAAACCAAGAGCTGCTTAGTGCATACATAGCTCTACTCTACATTCTTCCAAGAAAAAATCACTTTATCCATTTATTATCACAACATTTGATTTGGAACAGTCTTGTTTTATGAATTTATGTCCTTCGTGTAGTGTGGATTGTGGAGATAATAATATAGTGAACATGCAAATATATTAAATAAAACATATCATTTTAGTTTGAAGTTTTATCATATTTAGTGAATAATGATCAAAAAGCAGTATCACTGCTCAGAGAGAACACTGAGTGATTATGTGACTTCCATGGTGTTGGCTGAGGCACTGTCCACTGTCATCAACATTACTAAGTCCTCAGGAATCTGAGAAAGATCAAGTGACCTTAACCACTCATTAGTTCCATGAAATCTTTATGAAATACATAATGTCAGGAGGCATAAATAGTGATTACTTATTAAAGTTATTAGTTTATATTAACTTCCTGATATTGATAAATAATTTTAATGTATAAATGATTCTTTGGAAATGGAATTTAGCACAGGCACAGCTGGAAGCACACAGACACTGACTAGAATATTGCATCTCACAGTTATGAGCCAGGTCCCCTGAGATGAAGCAGCAGCAGCAGCAGAAGTGTCTGTCACTGCAGAGACTGTGGGGAAGCAGTCAGACCCAGAGCCTGATCACACATCACATGGAATTTGTGTCTGGAAAAGATATGAAAATGTTCAGTGGAAGTGTGTGTGTGTGTGTGTGTGTGTGTGTGTGTGTGTGTGTGATGACTGAACTACTGGTCTAAGAATAGATCAATAGCACATTGAGTACTGAGGCTGCTAACATAAATTTGTTTATAGCATGTGAGTGAAAAACTGAGGATTATATCAAATGTGTTCATGAAATACAAATGTTAAGGAAAATGGAGAAAGTATCTCTGTTTCCTGGGCAACTGGATCAGATCCATGAGGGTCCTGCCTAGAGTACCAGTGCAGACTTTTAATGTGAATTACTCAAAACTAACGGAAAACTCTGTAATGATTGCAAACATAAACTCATGCTTCCATCATTTGGTTTTTGTGGTTGGGATGGTCTGGACCCAGTGACTTAATGATATATATTTTTAAAACAATTTCATAATTTACATTATCTGATTTCCATTTTAATTTTGGTATTGTGTATGTAAGTGTGTGTGTGTATGTGGGGGGCACTCAACCCACACTTCAGACTGGCTTCAATCAAACTCACAATGCTCCTGCCTTAGCCTTCAAATGCTGGCATCACAGGCGTGTGCACCACACCTGCCTTCACTTTCTGTTAAGTCTCCTGTATACATTATAAGTGATATTCCAGCAACATAAAAATGGACTTATAACATTCAGCAGATAAACTTACTTGGCATATTTTGTGAATGTGTATTTTAATACGCAATTGTATTTTGTAACTATTAGAGGAAACTTGGGAGATTTTGACTTTAAATAATTTTGTACTATTCAAGAATTGAAACATGTTTCACTGCTAATGAAAAGCTTACTCAATATTATATCAGTATCAGTGCTACAAAATTCAACTTAGAAAACTTGAAATATTAAACTTAACATTATTTTATGAGAAGATCTAATATCCAACAGAAATTTTTCATTTACATTTTTGTAAGCATAATTTTGCAAGGATTTAATAAATAAGTGACGTGAAATATCCAGATATTTTTAAATACCTAGAAAATAGTTACATTATTAGAAATCACTTCAATAGAATGAACAAATATATGTGAATTTTTAAAACTTATTCATACAATGTTAAGAATATCTTATGTTTTACTAGTTTAAACTTTTCTCAGAATTCCTAAGTAGATCCAAACTTAATGGAATAGAAAATAACTGATGAACACCAAATGAGTTAATATTTGTTGTATATTTCTGGCTTAAGTTTCAGAGAAATAAATCCATAGTCAGTTAACTTTAGAAAAGCATCAAAATGAAAAAATACAAAATATAATTGAAATGTAATTCAGTATTATAAATTTACTCCTGTAAAGGAATATATGTGGGTTCTCTTCTTTTCACCCACTAAATTATTTCATGAATTTTGTGAAATGCATGGAAGACTAACACAGTTGTTGTCTGTTGTGTTTACTTATGATAGAGTTTGGCTCAAAAGTAAAATTCTAAGCATTGAATTTTCTATTCTCTAATCATTTTATTACAGAAAAATCTTGATTTACTTCATTGTGGCCTACTTAAAGCTTTCACTATCAATGAATAGAAAAGCAAACACTCACCTGACTGAGACCTTGATCAACATCCATGTAGAATGAGGCCCTAAGAAGTAGCTATAAGAGAAATGTCATCAGCTCATCTCCCTCTACACCCATAATTATTATGTCATCTATAGAGGGAAGTTCTGACCTTGAGGTTGTTAGAAAGTGGTACCATCAATTGGAAAAGTTCACTTCCCTAATTCCAGGAAAACAGTGGAGTAGAAACAGCTGAGCTCTGGGTTTCCCGTGTGTGAGCTGTTCTCCCCAGGCCATATCTGTCTATGTGGATTATCTGATCCCAGTCATTGTGAATAAAATAAAATGAATAATGATAATATACCATTTAAAAGAAGTAAAAACATTTTTGATTCCCCAAGGTATCGTATCATTCCTGCTTCCAAAGCTTTCCTTATATCTCCAAACTTACTTGACAGTGGTTTCAGAGTCTCATCAAAAAGTTAACAACACTTTTGCTAAAATTAATAAAATTTCCACTCAGACACACAGTCTTCCATCTTCCACCTTCTTCCTCCTTGTTAGATGGGGTAAGGGTGGTCTAGAGATTGAAAGAATGGCCAACCATTGATTATTCTAGCCTAAAACACTTGCCAAGCTGTTAAGCCCACCCATAACACTGTCTAGATCACCAGGATCTACAGGCTGGATGACTCAGAGATCTAGGATAGAACCAAACATGACAAGAGAAAAAAATGTC